ACACACACACACACACACACACACACATACCTCTCTCTCACACACACACACACACACACACACACACATAATCTTTTAGAAAATTCATGTCAAAAAGACAAAGGTGGATTTAAGTTTTCTTTTACTTTGCACCTCAGTATTGCTTTGTTCTTATAGACAAAACATTGCTATTATAACAATATTTCTCCATCAGAACTGCAGAAATAGTCTAATTCATGTGTCCAAATGAAGAAATTATGACAAGTGTATGTTCATATGCTCTATTGTTATAAATTCCTGGAAAAGACTTTAGAACCAACATTTAAAAAAAAAAGACAAAATTCCACCAAATCTGTGGGCGGAGGAACTGGACGAGTGCCAATTTTATACAACATAATGATATCTTTTTATTGTTTGTTTACATTTTAGGTGTCAACCTAGAGTACATATAAACATAATCTGACAAAACGTCAAAGAATACATCAAATTAAACTTAGTCTTGACTATAAAAAAGACTACAGTCTGCTAATTCTTGTCAACCTGACATGAAATCAGTCCATCTATGACCTAACAAGTACATACCATGAATAAAAAAAAAACACACACACAATACATTCATTATCATTCACTGATGAAATGAGCTTCACATAAGGACTAACAGCCTCACGCTTTTATTCAGGTAGAATGATCTGCATGTAATATTTATTGGACCTGATAAATGTTTTCAGTTTCTGTCATCTTGAATCATGTTTCTGTCACTGCACTTTTTAAAAACAATAAGCGATTAGCTATTTGAGTTACTATGGAAGTCCACATACAGTAAGAAAAAAAATCATGCTTTGGTAAATCACAATTATGGCATGAAAAGTCACAATTATGACATATAAAAAGGATGAAATTATGACATTTTAAATCATATCCATTAAATGAAAAGTCTCATAAAATAAATAAAATTCATTTATGATAAAAATTCATAATTATAATATAAAAAAATTTTATTATAACATGCGAACATGACATAGAATGTCAAAATTCTGACATAAAAAGTCACAATTATTACAAAAATTTAGACTCATAATTTTGACTTTTTATGCCATAACTATGATATTTGTCATAATTATTTTTTTAAATAATTATTCTGTCATAACTTTGTCAATTATGAAATGGTAGTTTATAATTTATATTTTTATGTCATAATTATAATTTTTATCTCATAAATATGACGTCAGAATTTTGACATGACATTTTATGTCATAACTATGACTTTTGTCATAATAATGACCATCTCCTAATTTTCACTTTTTGACTTATTTCATAATTATCTCATCTCATAAATTACATTTTGTCATTTTGATTTTACTTTTGATTTCATGATTTAGATTTACCAAAGCACATTTTTTTGTCTTATGTGTCAGAAATAGGCTTCCACAAGTTAGTAATTTGAATAGGGTTCAAAGATTTAAGAACAGTCTTTTAAATTTAAATGAAATGTAAATGTATTAATTTAAATTCCTCCTCTGAATAAAATACACTGACAAACTATAATCATTTGTCATTATTACTTAAAAATATCTCTTAATGTTTAAAAATGTGTATTAACTACATTCTGAATGTTTTGTTTGCCACCCATCATGAAAAGTTTGAAGCATACGCTTGCTATTGAAGGAATATCCCAGGGTTCAGTACAAGTTCAACAGCATTTGTAGCATAACGTTAATCCCACATCTTTTAAAATAAATAAATAAACAAATAAATCATAAAAAGCTGCAAATGTCAAGATTATAGTGAAGCATTTATATGGAATTAACAGGGTCAATTTTTAGAAAACAAATTTGTAAACCACTGGCATTGTAACATTAACAGACTGGCCTCCCTCACTTCCATTTTAAGTGTAACCCACATTTTTGGTAGTGGAAATTATTTTCTTTTTTATAAAACGGAGAGTTCCGGTCCTTGATTCTGATTGGCTGAGCCACGTTCGAAGCTGTTGTAAATTACTCTACAAACATACACCTTTGTTTACGTTTGTCTGTTGCTTGGAAACCACTTTGTTGCAACCCCAGCTAATTCTGAGGAACTACATTGTTGGGTGGAAGAATACTGTTTTTATTAATATCATTACACTTTATTTGCTCTGTCTTATTTTGTGAAACCCTTACTACATATATGGAATAACCATTTTATAAAAGCAATAAGCCCCGTGAAGCTGTGGTTTACAGTGAATTTATAACAGCTAAGCAGCATTTCTTGGGGCTTATTGCTTTAATAATTAACAATATGCTATAATTGCTGTTGATTGAGTTTGACTTGGACTAAACTTGGAATTGTTCTAAAATGACTATTTTTAGAGGAGCACTTTTTTCCCTGTCGTTAAAATATTACAATTACTGATGTGACCGCATGATGAAGCTTTCCTGAAATTTCTGACCGTTACGTGTACATGAAGAACATGTGATGGCGATGAATAGCTTATACATTACAAATCATGACAATAAAGTTCAAGGCATTCTAAAGGCGTTTTCTAACAGTATTCAAAATATAGGAGACACTGTAAAAGAACGTGTAAGAGATTTAACAGTATAATCTCAGAGTGAAGCTGCTGTGTAGCTCAACCTGGATTTGCTCGATGTGGTTTTCTTCTCCCGACCGCTGAACACCCACCTGCTCATTGATGCTTCCACACCTCTGCTCGTAACCATGCAAACTCTAATGATGCATCTTGATGTCTCTAGCCCTTTCCTCTTTCTCTGTCGCACACAGGTTCTCAGTACACGTTCACATTTCCCCATTCCACTAGGTACTGGACTTTTCCGTCCGCCGTTACGCGTCTGGCTAGGATCCTGACGGAGTCGCTTCCCCCCCACCCCATCGGCGTGGGCCCCCCCATGCCGACTGTACTGGGGCAGGGTGGCACGTCATGCAGGTAGAGAGACGGGCAGCTTTCATAGCGCTGTCCGGTTGGGTGAGCCGAGGACAGAGAGAATGGAAGGCAGGGGGCTGGAAGTCGACAAGGGTCCTCTGCACTGAAGACAACAAATTAGACATGCAAAAAGAACTCAATCTGAAGGAAAAGTTCACCACACTGAATCTAAATGACGGCATTATTTTGAGGCACATATCATTACTACCAAAGTCAACTGACAATAGCAGTTTAACACAGCAGCTCAAAACTAGAGACTGCAGTTCCCGACCATTTGGAAATTATGGTAATGAACGATCACATTAATTGCGTAAGGTTGGGCTAGTTAGTTTTGCCAGTTAGCCCCTACTGGTAGATGTCATAACTATAGCAATTTGCATTTAAAAATTGCAGATTAAAAATAGCTGTGTATTATGACAAAATACATTTTTGCTAGCAACATATAAAAAGTAAAAGAAAAAAAAAAGTGCTTACCACACTAAAGGAAACTGTGGTCAATAAAATAAAATGAAACTAAAAAAAAGCTATTGCAAAACAATAACACAAATGAAAAATATTGTACTTAAGGTGGATGAGGAAAACAAAGCTGGACTATCTGTGCAGCGCTATATAATAAAACAAAACAAAAGCAGAACACAAGAACATAATAAAATAAAATAAAAAATAATAATTGAAATTGTAAAACAATAACACAAATGAAAAATGTTGTAATTAAGATGGATGAGGAAGACAAAGCTAGACTACCTGTGCAAATTAAATTAAATTAAATTAAATTAAATTAAATTAAATTAAATTAAATTAAATTAAATTAAATTAAATTAAATTAAATTAAATTAAATTCCATTAAATTAAATTAAATTAAATTAAATTAAATTAAATTAAATTAAATTAAATTAAATTCCAAAACAACACAAGTGGTATTAAAAAAACTATTTTATTTTAGATGGATGAGGAAAACAAAGCTGGACTACCTGTTCAGTGCAAAACAAAACAAAACAAAACAAAAATAATAAAATAAAATAAACTGTGACTCAAAACATGAAAAAAAAAACACAACACCAAAAAAAAAAAAGTTAAATCTTTGCACATTTGTGGTGGACACTGGTGGAATAGGAAATGTTGTTTTCTTACAGCACAAGTAAATGTTGAGGTTTTTTATATACATATATAACTGTGTCTTCTTGAGGTGTAGGCATTATTTATTTTGACATGCTTTTCTGGTGCTGTGACCCTTAATTCAGAAGCTATACTGATGCTGGGCATTTAACGTCCCAATTGGACTTAAAGGGGTGGTTGATTGCGATTTAACTTTTTTAACGTTAGTTAGTGTGTAATGTTGCTGTGTGAGCATAAACAATATCTGCAAAGTTACAATGCTGAAAGTTCATTGCAAACGAAGATATCGTCTTTACATGAGATACTCTACACGATAGACATTTGGACTGCTGTTGAAGTTGAAGTTGAAGTTGCAAAGACACCAAATATTCAGATGTGTCCAGCGCATTTTATAATTAATATAATTATAATTTATGCATTTAGCAGACACTTTTATACAAAGCGACTTACAGTGCATTCAGGCTATACATTTTTTTACCAGTATGTGTGTTCCCTGGGAATCAAACCCATGACCTTTTGCGCTGCTAAGGCAAAATCGACGCGTTTCAGAAAGGCGGGGCATAGAGGAGAAACAATAATGAACAGCGTCTTCGTTGACGAAAATAACACTGGGTGCGACCGCACCAGTTTCACCCCCCTAAGGACGGCCCTGTAGCGAATCACAACACACTGGGTCAGCTAACCAATCTGAGCCCATCGCGTATTTCTGAGGGAGGAGCTTCATAAAAACAGGAAATAATCGGAGCGTTCACAGGAGAAGCAAGAGAGAGTATTCAAAACTACACACAGGAATACATTCAAGTCAACATGAAATCAAAGTTGACCCTATTTACTTCCTTAAAACCTTATGAAACAGCTATGCCAGTGCAGTTTTCTTTCCTGTGTTGATGTATTTCTTATTGAAAAGATAAGGATGTATTGAAGTGCTTAATTTTAGTCAATATCCTTCATGTCAAAGCCATGAATCATGATGTGCTGCTTACTATGGTTAATCAGAGGCAGGCGGCATTTATCATTTATGGAGAGTAAAAATACGTCTTTACAGAAAATATTTTATTGGACAAAAAATTATTTTCTTTTTATTTTCTTTTTATTTTATTTATTTTTAAATTATAATTTATCAATTATTTTTGTCCAGTAAAACAATTATTACTAATATTTTGATTTTCTTTTTATATTTTATATTTTCAGTTTTCATTTTAACTTGAGGTTTTAGTCATTTTGTTATGTGATTAATTTATATATATATACAGTGGGTACGGAAAGTATTCAGACCCCCTTAAATAAAATTATAATCGAAAATGTATATATTATGAAGACTTAAAAAAAAAAAACATGAATAAATACATTGTTTCAGGAAATGTGGACAAGATTTATTTCATGTCCACATTTCCTGAATGTGTAATGACACACATTTCCTATGTGTGTGTGTGTGTGTGTATATATACACACACACACACACACACAACCATTTTCTGGTAGATATCCTGTTTCATTCATAAATATGCCAGATAACAAAAGTAAAATGGGTTGCATTTGATGTTTCATGTTGACTTTAAATTGAGCTGTGTCTGTGTTATTGACTATATTTTCCTACCGTGCCAAGAAGCAAAGATTCCCAATTTTCATTTGCAAAAGACATGAGTTCATGATCGAAATCAAAATACTTCCTCTTGCAGCACAGGGAGAGGTGATACAGCACCAAATGGGCCAAATCTACCCTGCAATCCAACAGAATGAGGATCATCAGAAACGACATTCAGCTCTTCAGATCAGTTCTGCAGTCCTGCAAACAGAACAGAAGCAGCGCTCTTACCAGGTCATTGGAAGCCTCTGGATGGTCTCTGGACCATTTGTGCACACTGAGCACTGGAACTGATAAAAGCTGAAAGGTGAAGAGGAGACACAGATGAAAAGGTTTAGACAGAATTAGCTTAGCAACAGCATGTGCTTAACAACGGCATCAGCCTCACCGGTCTCCATAGAGAAGAGGTTTGGTCAGGCACTGAGTGCAAGCTTCATGAAACCACTGCCCACAGCTCACTCACTGCAACATCTTCAGATTCCACCTGACAAAAACAACATGCTTTAATTTAGACACACTTACTCCTGAAAAAACATCACTCTCAACTAAAATGAAAGCATAATTGCTGCAATTGCTAGTTGTGTAATTCCACTTTAAAGTATCTATTTAATAAATTTTCTGCATATACAGTACAGTGCAGCCAGAAAATGTTTAGGCATTTAAAACACACTTCAAATGTCTGAATGTCATTGCATTAGATGCCAAAATATCAAATCAATGAGGATCATCAGAAACGACATTCAGCTCTTCAGATCAGTTCTGCAGTCCTGCAAACAGAACAGAAGCAGCGCTCTTACCAGGTCATTGGAAGCCTCTGGATGGTCTCTGGACCATTTGTGCACACTGAGCACTGGAACTGATAAAAGCTGAAAGGTGAAGAGGAGACACAGATGAAAAGGTTTAGACAGAATTAGCTTAGCAACAGCATGTGCTTAACAACGGCATCAGCCTCACCGGTCTCCATAGAGAAGAGGTTTGGTCAGGCACTGAGTGCAAGCTTCATGAAACCACTGCCCACAACTCCCACACTGCAACATCTTCAGATTCCACCTGACAAAAACAACATGCTTTAATTTAGACACACTTACTCCTGAAAAAACATCACTCTCAACTAAAATGAAAGCATAATTGCTGCAATTGCTAGTTGTGTAATTCCACTTTAAAGTATCTATTTAATAAATTTTCTGCATATACAGTACAGTGCAGCCAGAAAATGTTTAGGCATTTAAAACACACTTCAAATGTCTGAATGTCATTGCATTAGATGCCAAAATATCAAATCAATTAGCATCTGCAAACAAATCACGCTACAGATTTTTCTCAGCATTTTTGGAAATAATTTTGCCTAATGTCTTTTAAATAGTATTTCTGTGATTTTTATGGATGTAGGAAGCAGGATTGTTAAAATTAACTAAAACTATTAACACTAAAAAATGAATTAAAAAAACTATATAGACACATTAAAATAAATGAATAAATAAAAGTGACAAGAACACTTAACAAAATGATTAAAACTTTAACTGACATTAAAATTAAAACAGATCATATAAAATAACAACTCATTCAAAATATTAAAGTATAGTTCACCCAAAAATTAACCTTTGCAGAAAACTTGCTCGCTCTCAGGCTATCCAAGATGTAGATGAGTTTGTTTCATCATCAGAACAGATTTGGAGAAATTAAGCATCACTTACTCACCAATGGATCCTCTGCAGTGAATGGGTGCCGTCAGAATGAGAGTCCAAACTGCTGATAAAAACTCCAGTCCATCAATTAATGCATTGTGAAGTGAAAAGCTGTGTGTCTGTAAGAAACAAATCCATCATTAAAGTGCTTTAACTTTAAACCACTGATTCCGGCTAATAAATAATAAAGAGTCCATAACCTATAATAATGCTTCCTCTAGCAAAAGAAGTCCATTCGCTGCTGTCCTCTCACATCAAAATCCACCAAAATATTTGTTTAGAGCTGTTTTAGACTGTATGTATGTGCATATTTCTCTCCTGATTCAGACTTTTTCACTAAAGAAACCAATATTATGGATATAAGACTCGTATTTTAGCCAGGAAGCAATGGTTTGAAGTTAAAAACATCTTAATGACAGATTTTTTTCTTGTAAATGCACAGCTTTTCACTTCACGAAACATTAACTGATGGACTGAAATGGTGTGGATTACTTGTGGATTGTTGTGATGTTTTTGATCAGTCTCATTCTGACGGCACCCATTCACTGCAATGCTAAATTTCTCCAAATCAGTTCTGATGAACAAACAAACAAACTATAACTTGAACTAAAATGCTGCATACTGCATGCATCAGTAGACCCAAGCAGTACATCCCGCACATTGTACAATCGCAGTACTCTAATATTCCATTCTAAACATTGCCATAGTCATGTGAGAATGATACAAGTTGGACTCACTCTCCTGGTCCAGCACAATAGCAGTAACACTGCTGCTGGTTGGTCAAGTGCTGCGGGTCCCAGTCTAAAGATGACAGCTGATAGGGCAGCCGCACTTTCATGATCTGCATGAGCCGTGCGAAGCGTCCTCTTTTTAACGCTCCCCCTCTCTAGGACAGAACACAGCTCGTCATTCCAATGTATCCCACCTCTCCTGTCATGTAAGCACATTTAACAGCGATTTCATCTGAAGATTGAATTTGGAGAAGACACGCTGAAGGAAGTCATTAATATTTCCTGCTGGGGGGGGGTCGGTGAATATGATTTTATCTTCAAATCAGCATGTAAGGCCTGTGAAACGAGCGCGCTGACAGACAGATTAAAGCACAGGCCCATTTAACGCAGCTCTACCACCGCCATCACCTGCAGAGTGCTGCAATGTAATAAATACGCAGTCAAGTGCAGTAAGCCATGGATACCCTTTACATCTCAGAGCAAGATTAAAGCTTGTGTGTGATTTGAAATAGACCTTGAATGACAACGCTGTCCATGGTTCTAAATGTTCATTTCAGGATTGAGGCGAGGTACAACCTTTGTTGCGACTGCGAAGACACATTGGCGACATATCCAGCTGTTGGGGTCAACTTCAGGTTCAATGGGCGGCGTGTGGCACTCTGGATGATAACCTGGGGAAACAATGGATCGAGAACAAAAAATGCAACATGAGTAACGCATTACTTGATACACAAAAACTAAAAGAACTATAAGACCAATAGAAGAAATCGATACTGTTTCATTTGTCATATTACCGTGGCGACATTTGAGGCAGTTTACGAGAGGTTCTTTAAGAGGCGGAGCATCACAGATACAGCACACCTCCTCTCCACCTGAAGAGACTGACCACAAGAAACAAATCATTTACTGTACAGACAACAACTACGTTTCAATATCTAGTATACATCAACATTTTGTTTCGATATTTACTTTAGATTAACAATTTACTTTAGATTAATAATTAATAAAAAATACATTAATGTATTACATAGTTTCTCATTTTCAGCGAATGAAATATTTTTTTTAAAACAAATACGATTTAATGTAAAAGTGATGTGTGCCTTTTTTTTAGATGTTAAAAAAGCATCCAAAAAAAAAAAGAAAATTGCAGATTGTGTTGTTTAACATATATGTCATGTTTATATTGTAATTTTAAAATCTGCTAAAAAAAAAAAAAAAAAAAAAAGAATGTATGTATATGTTGAATATTGAAGAACAGCATCCCAACCAGCCTGAGACAGTAACTCAACCAACTATGTGAGTTTGGGGCGGGACTATGTTTGGTCGACCAATGGCAGCATGGTGTTAAGAAAACATGCTTAAAAACAGTTAATTTTTTTATTTATTTAATTATTCTTGCAATTCCATTTGCAACAGATAGAAACTGTTTTTTTTTCAGAATAAATTTATAGTGACAATATAGTAAATAATTAACTTCAATAAATAACTTCAGTTAGTAGCTTTTATTAATATTTTGTAAATTGCTCCTAATTCTTTAGGGCATAATTCTGGTGTTATATCTAGAGTTTAATATAATATAACCTGTCTAGAACATGTCTTGGTCATATTTAACCCTAAACAAAAAGAAAATGTAAAGAAAAATTATATTAAAGAGAATTATTAAAAAAGAAGCCTGTTTTATCTTTTTTAAATAATTTTTTAGCAAAACCTCATTACTGTAATCTAAAAAGAAATCTCATTCTCATTACTATAATGCAAAATAAATAAATAAATAAAATGTATATATTACAGTATTTAAATTATAGTATTTGTTCATTGACAGTTGACAGTGTTTGTTGTTATCTTTAATTTAAGTTGATTTAAATACATTTACATATGTTTGGAAATAAAGTAAATAGTAACAATCACCATTGAGAAATCTGATATATATATATATATATATATAAGGAAAAGGCATGAATTCTGTTAATAACTCTTTGGAAGGGAGATGTGCTTACTTTTCATTAAGAAATAATGAAAAAAATTTAATTAGTCAATAAAATTAAATTAAATTACAATAGTCCTAAAATAGGCTTCATTTTCTTTATGCAAAGTATAAATTATTTTCATTCTGGATGTATTCACTACTTACTTTTTGAGTTTGAATCTAAAGTTTCTTCACTTACATGAGTGGATGTCTTTCCTGAGGACCCAGAATTCAGAGTTATCCTCAAATCTGACCAAACAGCACTGCTTGACGCTGTCCACCTGCCAAATAAATACAGTCCAACATCACAAACAGCACTACACCGATTTACCCGAGTCCAAGATAAAAGTCAGTTTCAAACTTTCTCTTTTCCTCTCTCTGCTATAGTGTCCTTTTCTCTCTTTCAAACTAACTTAGACAAACAGCAAACTTACTCGTTTGACATTGCCGAGGTACAGAAGTCCATCGCTCCACCTGGCTAAAACATCCTCTCCTTCACTGACTCCCCCCATCCTGAAGAGCGTGGGAAAGAAAAGTGCAAAAAAAAGATCCAGGGGCATTAAACTGTGTTTCCACACCAGCAGCAGCAAACAGCAAACAGCAGCAGCCTAAAGGGTTAAACTCTGTGCATAGCGACAGTATACAGTACAGTAGGATAAATGATGAAGAGTCAATGTACATTGCAGTGCCACACATGATCAAAAACACTGGCTGCCTTATGCAACGGACCATAATATATGCAGATGGAACAACAACGCGCAATGAAAGAGCGCATGCAAAACGCATGGCCAGATGTGCCCTAATCAATGCACCCAACTCCGAAGAGCTGACACACATGATGAACCGCGCATGCACATATCAATTAACACGCATGACAGATCATACGTGGACGGGATGTACCTGTGTTAAGTGTTCTGCTCTGCTGGGGTCACAGAGACGGGGATGAGATGTCAGTCTCACATGAAACGCCTGATGCCCGGTGTTGTTCTGCGTCTCAATCACTGTCCCGAATAATCGGCGCGTTTGGAGAGTCGCGGCGGATCAAACGCGCGTCACTCAAGCCGTCAGTGCGCAACCGTCTGTCCGTCCGTCTCTCTCTCTCTGTCTGTCTTCTGCTTCATGTTCCCAACCTCCCCCTGTCTCTCGGTTGATGCTATCGAGCGTGTTTGTCAGGGTAGCGGCATGAGAATCAGCCCGAGAGAGACGCCATCATCATCTCTGCCTCACTCTCCTTCGACTTGTTGTGACGCAGACATAAAACACAGGGAGATGGAGAGGGAGGGAGATCCGGAGAACACCTTCACATCTGTACGACTGACCGACATCCCACCTGCGCCCGACCCCACAGGCGCTCGGCCGGTGCAGCACACTCACGGCGGCTCATTAGGGAAAGTTTGGGCAGTAATTAGTCCCAGCAGAGACTTTTTGGAGAAAGTTTGGAAATGCCCTTGTGTGCCGGCAAAAATCTGGCAACGCTGCTGTTCGCGCCCTATTCCGCGAAAAGCAAACGGGGAAATGGATTTTCTTTGGCAATGTTTGAACCTGCGATTGAAAAAACACAATGTTAACCGATATTAGAGGGTAGATAATCATGATAGATCAAGGCAAATTACTATAAAAATTTTAAATGTCAAAACATAGTATTTTATAGAACTTATTATTGTGATGTTATATATATATATATATATATATATAGAGAACAGCTTGATTAAGAGTTAGGGTGTCCGATAAATGTGCTTCGGCTAATTATTATTATTATTATTATTATCATTATTATTATTATAGGTAAAATATACGAGAAAAATAAGAATTGACAAATGTGTTAACCAAAAGGTATACACTCTTATTTCATGTCACAACACAACACATGGCCTACTAGAAACAAAAGAAGATGAGGTAGATCAAAACGAACCAAATTCATGATGTATCAAACACATTGTGATGACGGTAGTGCAGGAATGTTCAAAATGGCCTCTGGCGTGTCTTTTGTAAAGCAGTGTTTGGATGGTCCAGCAGAGAGCGCAAAACACAAAGATGCAGAGTGCAACTAGAGACTGGCTTTATTCCTATGCTAAATTACAACTCAACATAGTCTGCATTTTAGATTGTTTCTCACATAGTGATTCTTCATACAAACATGAAAGTGTTGTGGGCAACATACATTTGATATAATAAGTTGCCAAGCCATTTAGAGAGCAAGCCTAAAGAGCTTGACAAGGGTGATAAATTATTCATAAGCACCCAACCGCTATTTTAATTAGTCCACTCCAACGAATTGAATGCATAGCTCGCATTACCAATGCTTTTATTCGCCATAACAACCTTTTAATAAACACAGAAATCTCCCTCAGACATATTATTCCAGCTAATAGAGACGCATAGGCCTTGCATAATAACACATACAGCTTCTAACTTCACAACAGATGGAAAGTGTCCTGACAAACAAAAGGTCACATTATGTCTTCTTGTGCATGTACTGTAGCTTTGTTTTAAAATGGAAAATTATGAGCCTATACATAAAAAACATAAGTTATTACCTTTTGTAATTGTGAGACATTTATTGTTTGGATAAACAAAACGTGCAAGTGCTTAAACCTAATTCTACTTTTCCCAAAACCCCCTTGGGTTGCTAATTTATGCCATATGTGGTGCGCTATGATTGGAAATAAATGATAAGAGATTGTTATATGATATTTATTTGACAACTGAAAAAAAGTGATTGTTTTCCATGGCACAGTGAGCATGCTATTTTTTGTCCTTATTTTTGTTGTTAAAGGTCTTCTTGCCTGCAAGGCCCTGCCATAAAAATATTGCAAGGTCGGAGTGGAGTCCACAACTGGCACTCTGCTCAAGGATTAGCTTTAAATAATCACCCTGCTAGGAACTGGCCAGCCATTCAGAAGCATAAATCATTTACATCAAAAACTTCAACACCAACGGCCACTTAAAATTCAGGCCGTGAAACAACACCAGGCAATAAAATACAACCTTGACAATGTGTGAGGGTCCACACACACACACACACACACACACACACACACACACAGCTAAATGGGACTTCTTATTGATGTACTGTTCATAAATAAAGTTAATATTTATAAATGGGTTGGGCAGTTGACACATAGCATCAAAACAAGATTTTAAGTAAAAATTCATATGCATGTAGAGGAGTGAGCCAAATAAAATAAAATAAAATACAAATTGCAAATACAAATACAAATAAATAAATAAAACAATTTATTCAGATGGATGAGGCAACATAAAATTAGATAATAAACAAACATATATAATAAGATAAAAAAATAATTGCAAAAAATAACACAAATTATATTTTCATTCTTTTTTATTCAGATGGATGAAGGAAAAAGTGGATAATAAATAAAACAAAATAATTATTTTATATCAGATGAGTGAGGGAAATAATGTGGCTGGAATAGCAGCAAAACAAAATAATAAAATAAAATAGTTATTTATATATATATATATATATATACATATAGTGCCCTCCATAAGTATTGGAACACTAAAGACAAAATTGCTTTGTTTGCTGTGGAGTCAAGACATTTGCAAATATGATTAAAAGATGAATATGAGACAAAACTACAGAATGTCACATTTTTGCATGCCCATGCCATGACACAACCTCCACCATGCTTTACAGATGAGGCTGTATGCCTTAAGATCATTTGCAGTTCCCTTTTTCTTCACACGTTTGCTTTCCCATCACTTAGATAAAGGTTAATCTTTGTCTCATCTGTCCATAAAACTCTGTTCTAAACCTTTACTGGCTCACCTTTGTGCTTTTTTGCAAACTCTAATCTTGCATTTCTATTTTTGGTGCTTGTTAG